ACCTCTCACCTTGTTTGTAATTCAATCCTAGATTGAGAGATGGTGGAGAGAGCTACACGAGCGCATGGAGAAATACTATAAAGGTCATTTGTGTTGGCTCAAGGACCAAGGCCATTATCATCCACATGATGACAAAGACAGGTTGATTCACTATGCATTTCCTCAGTGTATCATTCACAGTGAAACCTGTATAAAGGGAACCTTATTAAGCGAGCACCCTGTGTTAAGCGGACACTGGAGCATTCTCCGAAGGTGTCCGCTTAATACAGGTTACACTGTGTTTATACACCTTGGAGATTGGGCTCCATGTAACCTCCCTACCTTTTTCCTGGGGTCTCTTCTCTCTCACTCCAGGAGGGTGGGAAGATTAGAGACCCTGGTAATGAGGTTGGTAACTTCCTGTGCTTTTTGTACCTGGTAACTGTCAATACAACTCAATATTATGATTGAACTAAAAAAAGAATTATAAAAAAACAAGCCAGTTCTAATGCATGTAAATTAGGTTTTGTCTCTGGAAAGCCAAGGTTCAGTGTCAAGTCATATGGAATATTATTTGTGGCGTGAATGGTTGGGAGATGTTATGTTTTTTTTTTTTCAATTAGCCAGACATAAAACAACCAGGGTTGTAACTCTGCGACATTTTAATTCTGTTGTGTTCCTCTCCAATCGTATAGGATGCTTCTGGCGTTCATCATGATACCGCTGATACAGAAAGATCTAGATGTCTTTAGAGAGTCGGTTTGGCACACTCATAGGATACGTGCACAGAAGGACACGATTCTTCCGGATGGCGTTCCAAACCACATGTATAGTTTCCCTGAACAGTATGGCCTGGAAGAATGTGGTTTGTTTGGAACACCTGATACCATTTCTGACTTGGCATTTTTCTCGTTTTGGTAATTTTCTCTTTGACTTTTCATTTGCATTACATTACAGGTCTCCCTGTTACAGAGGAACAGCTCAAGGAGGCAGCTACTCAGTCTGGAGTGCTGACTGTTCCTGATGATTTTCTGCAGCCTGAATTTAGAGCAGAATGCGAACGTGTCTTACCAGATAGTGAAACGATTAGACCCCATGAATGCAGGGATGCATACATTTACTTAAAAAATAACTTCCAGTTGTGATTGTCTGTATTGTAGGCACTAGTGGTCCTTAGGTTGCACTAAGCTTGTGATGGGGCAGCTGGGGGATGCTCCTTCTAGTCAATAAAGTTACATAGTGTGCATAAGTTCAAGATAGATGTGACAAAAATTATTTCTGGTAAAGAAAACAATCTCTGAAACATTTTTTGTACATTGTTTTTTTTTATTGACTAACAACAACTGAAAATATTATGTCATATAACGTTTCAATCATTAAACTTTATAATGTTTCACTTTTATTAATTTCTTGTAACATGGAATCAGCAAAAACGAAATTCCATAGTGGTGAAAGACCCACATTTAGGACTATTTGTACTTTCTAGAACTGTAACACTATAAAAGTAACACGTTTATATTCATAATATGAAGTTGGAACAAGTAAATTTTGTATATTATAATTAATTGTAATTATTGATGAACTATGACAATAATGTGAACACTTCTTCAAGTTTGCCATGGGAATTAACCAGTGAAAACAAAAGTTTGAGTTGCAGAGTGATGGTTACAGCTTACATCTAACGGCCAATATGTCTACTCCATGCTGTCCTACAAAGGGCAAACACAACAGCATTCCTCATTAAAAAACAACAGTATAAACAGAAAAGGGGGAGGGGTGGGGTAGCTTATGTGGTAAACATATAGCACATGTAAAAACAGCAAAACATATCAGAAATTAACTAACTTGGTCTAAGTTTCAGCTTTAGAAGCTTGCAGTAGGAGTTGCACTGATGAACCTCAAAAAATGACTCAATTGCTCTTCCAGCCAAGTTGCCAGTACAGAACTGATAACCCCCATCCTCATTGTGTATCTCAGCTGAGGCTATTTCAGGATCGCACACGGTATATCCTGACCCTTGGATGTCTAAAACCATAACTTTGCCTTCTGATTTCTCATACGTAAAATGAGAAAACGCCTGTGCCTTCTTACATAGCATGGTATCTTCTTCACAGACAATTCCATTGTTGTTTATAAACTTTGCAAAGTCTCCAGGGATGAACTCCTCAACTGTTAACAGCTCCCCGTCCTCTGTTTTCCCCATGTACACAGACTTGTATTCAAACGAATCTCCATATTCGTCCCTGAGCTTGTCCTTTGCAATTGTTTCCTTCAGCTGTGATCCAAAGTTTCTTGATAGATATTGCATCTGTACTGACTTTCTAGTATGTTCTTCTGTGGTCTGTCCTGTATCTTTAATCAGTTGAACAGCACTCTCCAGATAACTCTTAACAACCCATGTTCCTTTATTAAAGCCTTCTGTAATGCTTGTGGCTTTAAATGCCTTTCGGAAACCTCCAGCTACAAACTCTTTCTTTTCTATGACAAATTCAGCTTGGAGTGGCACTGATGACCATTCCATGTGAGCAAAGTCAAATTTGTAGATCAGGATTTTCTTGGCTTTGTTATCAACTACCCTTCAAGCCTGTATGTCCTTGATAGAAAGGCTCTTTGGGTAAAATTTACTCGTTGCAGGTGAAGGCTTCACTGGGCTTGGATGGGAGGCAGGCCTTTTCTGTGGAACTTCATATCTTGCTATCTTTTCCTGTGGACCAAGACAAAAAATATTGAACAAAAGGAAGAACTTGCAACCATGTTAAACTGCTATCTTGAACATTGATAAAAGAAAAATTGATATAACATTTTGCCAGACTTTTAAGTTCTATAATTATCGACAATGGGGGGTGAGTATTTAATCAGGGGTTCCAGACAAACACAGCGAAACTGATGAAAGCACAAGGCTGAGGGCCAAGTGCTCACTTTTGAAAAATAATTAGTATTAACTATTGGTATTGGGTATCAAGATCCGTCCACCTCACCTAAATAAATCTTATTGACTGCTGACCCAGGGGCAGATCTAGGGGGAGGGTGCAAGGGGGTGAACACCCCCTCCCCCAACCCCCTGAGATGAAGCCTCTTCATATTCGCTATTAAAATTTCTTTACATCACCAGTCAGTTACGCCATTTCTTATTGGTGTATCCCCTTCTAAGGAAAATCCTGGATCCGCCCCTGCGACCTTACGAAATATTAATGAGTTTAAGAGTGCTGGTTTGTAACCTTGTAGTGGAATGTAGAAAACTATAGATTGTTATGAATCAGGGAACAAAAGTTTCCTAATTCTATCCTGGAAATTTCAATCCTCCTGGGACTTCATAGTATCAAATAGTACCAATAATCTAATGTGCTGGAAGCAACAGCTGGATGCAGATTTGGTTTAATTTTGCAATTAAAACGTTTTCTAAACTTTAATACAAACAGTGGCTTTGCAAAAAGTCACTCCCCACGGATATTTCTATACACCACGAGTAAACCGGTGAGTAAACAAAACGCTTCCGCGAAGATTATTTTACTGTGACTAAAACCTCAACTACCTAAAATGTCCTTATCAGAATTCCTAGAAGAAAGGTCTTGAGTTAATAATCCACATCCAAAGTGCAAATAAAACTCGTGATTCATTTTGATTATTACGGGTTTATTGTGCTATTACCTTGCATTCCAACGATCCATCCTCATCGGAAACGATTCCACTCCTTCGCGTTTTATAAACCGTATATAGAACACTTTTCGGTTTGGAATATGGGCCATCTTTTCGCAAGATGGCCCGCGCTCTCCAGCCAGTACGTCACAGATAAGATTTTTTTCGATCTGAGGCCTGAAGTGCTTCTTACAGGCGTCTTTGATGTTCGCAATCGTTAACTCTTCGCGCTCAAAAGGCACGTATTCCTGGGGCCCTATCCTAGTGTATTTCTGCTGTTTGCCTGATACATCCGCACTCATTCTCTGCACTACTATTTCGTCCGCCACAGTGCTTTCCTCTCCTGTTTTCTTGCCTTTTCTCTTAGCCTTCTGAATGGCGGCATACCGCCTCTACTCCGCCATGTTGACGACTCACACAAAAAAAAGCGAATGGCTTTATGGGAGTCATTGGTTTGGAGGCCTGGGGGGGTCTGGCAGTGGCAGCGCTCGGCCACGCCGAATAATTTACTTTCAATTTTACTTCAAACGAAAGTAAATCTTAGCATGGCCGAGCACTGCCACTAACTTCGTTTTCCATTCTCTTTTTTCAAATTTATTGAATTTTAATTGACTTTGACTTCTACTTATATTCTGTTTTGCATTCTCTTTTAAAGTGCAGTCAATTTTAATCTGAATGGAGTTAACTTTGCATTTTAAATTTAATTGCATTTGTATTTTGATTGAGATTTTACTTGCATTTTGTTTTACATTTTATTGCATTTTTATTTGATTTAAATGTTATTTTCATTTTGCTTTACATTCAATCTACTTATAATAAAGAAAAAAAAGAAAAAATGTGCCGAAGACTCAGTGGCAGTTCTCGGCCACCATACTCCTGACATGCTGATTAATTCATTTTCACATTTGTTTTACCAGGCTTAAAATTTACCACCTTTCATTCTTTCACTACACAATATGACATCGACATCGCTGATCCTTACAGTATACAGCAAGTGTGTTAATATGAGCCTAGTATATGGCCTCGCTCTACATAAGTTCTCCGTAGCTCAGTGGATAGAGCGCCCGCCTGGTAATTGGCAAGTCATAGGTTCAAATCCTGTTGAGGACTCATCTTCTATTCTTTCAAGTTGTACGTTTTTTGTAGCTCGTTTTTTTTCGTACCTTCAGTTGACTGTTTGTTGTTTATGTGGGGACAATTTGTTGACAGATGGCCGATAGATTTTTGTGAAAGCGATTGTTCATTTTTACCAGGATTAAATTTATACCATTAAGACCCTATTCAAACGCCGCTTTACTCATATACCGAATCTAACGGAATCTAGTTAAGTATGAGAAAAAAACCCTGTATAAATAAATTTGGTACGACAGTTTTACATTGGTCCAGACAAAGCGTTAAGTTCGACAAACTCTGTAGAAGTTTTGTCGAACGTTATAACTTACACTTGATAGAAGTTCATACCATTTAAATCAGATTTCACGTCAGTGTCACAACAAACCCGAACTTATTCAGTTATGTTCGGTACATGAAAAGTCCTACGTCTAAACAATGGCTAACTTTAAAGTAATTCAACAATACCTATTTGTTGTAGAACAATCTGGAGAAGCCGATGATGGAAGTAAGTTATGGTATTATTAATTTTTTCAACATAAAAATTATTACAGCCTTTATCTGTTTTAATATAATATAATTGCAACTCAGATAAAGGTAGTTATTCTCAGAAATACAACTCAAAGTCAATAACCCAAAAATTGGCTTTTAATACACGAAAATATTTCAAGAGGTCTTAATTTGAAAAAATACAAACGACGAAAAATATATGTGAACGTTTATTGAAATTGGTATTAAAAAATAAAATTTAAAACATATCATTTCTTATCTGACTTTCTTTCTTAAATTTAAATTTCAACAAACTCCAATATACAGTATTGATCGCCTATGAAAAACAGGTTTTATATTACAATCCTGTGCAAATCAGTTTCCTTCAAGAGATTAATTACAATTCCTGTGTAAAAAAACTATAATGAATAATATTCAACACAAAGTCATATTCATTGTTAAAGATTTTCTTCAACAGTCCACTATTGCAGTCACCCGTATACTTGAGATTTAGTATTTCTTACATCAAAAAAGTAATGACAGCAGTTTAGAAAGTATTGCAAATTTTTTTGTTCATTCTTGGATTTTCTCTTTTCAAATTGAAATTTTAACAAATTCCAATATAGAGAATAGGTTACCTATGGAAAACACGTTTTATATAGCAATCCTGTGCAAATGACTTTTCTTCAAGAGTTCAATCTAACTTTTGTTAAAAGTATCCCTCTCCTTATCAATTACATATAACAATTCGAGTTTAAAAGCGTTGTGGTGAATAATATTTACAATAAAATCAGATTGATTGTTGAAGCTTTTCTTCAACAGTACACAACTGTAGTTGAAATTTAATATTTCTTAAAAAAAAATAAATAATGATGACCATTCAGTTATTATTGCAGATTTTCTACATCTTTCCTTGAGCGAAAAAAGCAAGAAAATTTGACCCACAATACTTCCATCTCTCTCTGCGATTAACCTATCAAGATGGTCATAGATAACAACAGTACATTTTGCTACAATCTGTACCTAGTTATATTTATATTTATCAAAAAAACTCTTCAGAAAAATTATAACATTTCAAACCAATACTATAACAACTTAATGTAACATTTGATGTAATTTACATGTAAAAAGAAAATTATCAATTATCTTTTTAGTAGATTGGAAGGAAACAAACATTTTCGAGATTTTAAAAACAAAATATGGTAAGTTTATAGCTGTTACAATTATGTAAAAAAGGTAATATATCCGAATTTGGGGTGTTTCTCGCAAATATTGCAATACATGTTTTCATATTCATAAAACAGATATCGAGGTTAGCAGCTTGTAAATACATATGTATTTTATCACTTTTTTCCATTCGTTAAGTCATAATAGAGATACATCTACGTTTCCAGACAGTAAAATCTCCATTTAAACTACTTATGTCACATTACCCGCCTTTTTTACTACAAAATAATCTAAATAATTTATTTTCTGTTACTTAAGAACAATATAATACATAATTTCAATGGAAAAAGATGCTTTTTATTTTACTAATGCTCTCAAAATCCAAATTTCCTTAGCTTCCTTCAGCAACAAAAGCTGTTTTAGTTTTATTAGTAGAAATGTTGCGTAGGGTAGTGCAAAAATATAAAATATACTAACACAGACAAAAAAACACCAAGTCATCCTAATGTACCAATTTTTGTTTTCAAGGATTTGAATCGCCTAAAGAACGGAAACAATCTAACAGTATGTATATTAATTTGTTTGCAATAATTTGTGACAATTTTCGTCTAAATCAATTCACGTGCACAAACTTAAACAAACATGTCTTAATGTATGAAACCCTCCAACATCACAACAACATTTGGACGCCACAAGTTGTTTCTCAAAAAATAAACAGAATTAGTGAGATTAAAATATTAAAAAAATATTCTAACAGGGTCTTTCCTTCTCTCTTCCCTCGTTTTTTTGGTTATTTACTATTGTATTGTGGAGTCAGTTGTTTTACCTCAAGAGCCTTAAGCCGTGTGCAAAGGGATGTAACACTGTTGGCCAACAACTCCCAACATTGTTGAGAGTTGTTGCATCTGTTTGTATATAGCTAACACTTTGACCGGTTTCAAATTTTGCGCAACAACACTCAACAACATCCAACAACATGCAACAGGGTGTACAAACGGACGCAACATGTAACATCTAACAAAGCTGGGAGTTGTTAGCCAACGATGTTGCGTTCGTTTGCAAGGGACTTTAAAGACGATAAACTAATTATCTTATTTTTTTAGACACTACAGCAGTTAC